CTCACCACAACGGGACTGCCAGTACTGCCTGGTGCCCTTGAGCTTGTTGCCGTGGTACAGCGCCTGCTTGAGGATGTTCCTCTCGCCCGCCCGGATGCGCCGCCTGAGATCAGCGGCCGTCATGTCGTTGAACCGGGGGTTGTTCCTGATGAACACCCGTCCGTTTGTCAGAGCGTTCCACCGCATCATGGAGTTGAGGGCGAAAAACCTGAAAGTGGGATGGCATGAGAAGCGTCTATCAGAGTACTCCATTAGAAACTTAAAGTAATCAGCCGTGTGGATTTTAGTGGTGCGGCCACTCCTTAAGTCTCCCTCGCCCGTCGGGAAGAGACAGGGGAAGGCCATCGTCAGGTAGCCATCCGTGGTGAACTCATTGACAGGCTGAGGTCCGATCGTTGGCCAGTCCGTCACATGGGACTCAACCTGGTCCTCGTTGAGCTCGGGCCGGATCATGGGCATGCACGTCACGTGGATGCCGACGGCCGCGGCGTCCTCCTGGTGGGGCCCGGCCTCTGGGCCGCCCTCGGGCGCAGGTCGTGCTGCGGGTGCTGCAGGTGCTGCAGGCTCGGCAGCCGCGGCAGCAGCGCCACCGGGTGCGGCCGCAGCTGGAGGAGCAGCGGGGGGTGGGGGCGGGCGCGGGCGCTCGTTTATCCCTTGGACCTGTGAATAAGCATCACCATTAGCAGGCAATTGAGACAAATTCTCCTCTGAAATCTCTACATCACGGTAGTAGCGGTGGTGCTCCTTCAGCCAGACCAGCGCGGCGCGGACTCGGTCCGCTCGCACGTTGAAGTCCACGTGCCCCTCGGCGCCCTGGACGCCCTGGGTTCGCACCGTGATGATCGAGTTCAGGTCGGCCAGGCGGTGCGGCAGCGCGGTGGCCAGCTCCTGGACATCCTGAGGGAAATTAATGATATTACCTGAGTAACCATACTGCCCCCCTCTAACCTTATACACAGACACCACGGGGTGCACGCGCGCGATCAGCTGCTGCTCGATGTAAGTTAGGCCCTGCAGCTCGGGCGGCACGACCCCCGGGTCCATCCGGTTAGCGGCAGTGAAGCGGACCTCGCATTCACGTTTCGTGGGGTCGTTTCGGGCACGTTTCGTGCACGTGGGAGCCAACGACCCGTCGGCCGTCATGACCGCCCTGTTGCAGTGAACACACACGTTCAGCTCAAGCGCCGCCATGGTGGCGTCGAACAGCTCCTCCAGGGTGGGCTGGCCCGCTGCGGCAGGGGCGCGCTGAGGGGCTGCTGGGGCCGCGGCGGGTGCGACATCGTCCGGGATGTC